ATCTCCTATCCCACCCACGAGCTGCGCTGAATCCTCATACTTCTGCAAGAGAAACAGATTTCAGGTGACTTTTGACGGGAGGTACTTCGATGGCTTCCCGATGTTCTCTCATGACGGCAAAAAACTTGTCTGGTCATCAACTCGGGGTTCCACAAATGCCAAGGAGCTCAATGTTTTCATCGCTGATTGGGTGGGTTTTCATCTAAGAATCCAGGAAATCGGAGCCAAGCTTGAAAAAGCCAAAGATAGGGTAGAATCTGGCGAAATCATCTACATTTCCATACTCTCTAGAACAGTTCCCGTCTCAGAAGAACTGAACAACCATCCTACTTTGTCGATGGGAGAGACACAGTTCATGCTGGTTTGAGTGACAGTAAAAACACAAATCGGTTCTGCTAGGTTTCTGCTGTACGTAGGTTTCTGCTGTGCCTTTCTCACTGGTGCGTCACTTTTCTTTACCGCTTCAGTACAGGTGCACCAAGGATAGGCCTGACTAATCCCCTCGATCATAATGTACTGCGCCTCTAGATCTGGACCAAATAACTCATTAGAAGTAACCCAAACAGTAAAATATACTTTAATGTACCGTAGTATCTTCCCTCCCAAGCAATTCTGGTGTCTGTAAGTATTCTTAGGCGTGGGGAACGACGGGAATGATCGTACAGTCACTGGTGGAAATCGCTCCGACTGATTGCGATGATATCGACTGAAGCAATTCAGTAAGAGGAAGATTTTTGTGATAAGAAGTATCGCCACCTCTCGGGTCCACAGTTGACCCGAATGATTGAGGAGTCAAGTTCTCAGGGCTGGTAAATTATTTTGGGACGCGCCCTGGACCTTTCTTTCATTCAAGTTGATTCACTCACGTGGGAGCTGATCATTGTTTAACTTCTCGAAATGAGTTGCTGATCTGGGAACAAAAAGGAATTCAGTAGTTGAACAGAGAGATTGAATTAATCGCTGGCAGTTCTCTGGCAGAAACAATGTGGCCTCAAGAACCAAGGGAGGCGGACACAGACGAGTCCCTAGTTTGCCGGCAAACTTTCCTTGTGCCTTCGAACCCAAATCAAACCCAAATAGGCTTGGGCAGGGAACAACTCGGTCTCTCACGTGCGCGAACTTCCTAGGCCCACCGCCCGGCGCGGTGAATATTACGATTGTACTTGTCAGCCAGCGTACCGCAAGGACAACAGTAGGCCTGACGAGTTTCAGATCTCTGAATGCCCCTATATGTGATTCTGTGATTGAATTTCAAGGAAATCCTTCATTGAAGAGGGTCTTTGAATTCCGAAGGAAACGATAACTGTCTCATTTTGCTGTACGTTTTAGGTCGATTCTGAAACAAGCGCCAGTGATGAAGTAGCTGCAAAGGAAGAGCTGCGAACAAACCGTGTCCCAAAAAGGTGCACTAAAGTGAGTGCTTGCCTCGTTATTTTTTTGCACTGAGATTTTCCGGCAGATCTTGTGTGTGGATTGATTTAGAAGGTGCCTTATAAATCTAGCTTCCAGGGCAATACGGTACGTTGGCAGGACACGCCGACAACCCCTTATGACAACGTCGTTCACTTCGACGGCGAACGACATTTCAAGAACGTCAAACAGCTGACTTTTGGTGGCGAAAACGCTGAGGGCTATTTTAGGTACGCCTGAATTTCGCTGAAGTTCGCTTGCGAGGATACACAAAAAATATGTTCCTCGTGCTGTTCTGCGCTGGTAACTTCAGTGAGGCCCGGCAAGTTGGATCGCAGTAGTCCCTTCATCCTTCATGGTTTGGTGCATTCTTTCTCACTGAAGTCGACGCGCTTTGAGTGAGCGTTTCTTCTGCTCTTACAAAGGTGGGACTGGCATAGCTCGGCCAGAGTATCCATTGGGAACCTGGCCAAAGTTTTTGATGCTCGATGGAAGCTTGGTCTCTTGGAATCGCCAGGATAAAAGCTTCGAATGCGATAAATATAGCCAAGTGCTTTTTGAAGTTGTGTCAGTATGATAGCTAAGAGAATAAGAGCAGCTCCAGTGGCGTCGCCCCGTCAGCATGAGATGGTTTGAGTTTCGCGTGGAGTCTGACTTTTGCCCACAACTCTCAAGTTTTATGTTAGCCAAGTGCTCCCGGCACTTTCATCGAGTTTCACATCGCAGGCTTGTCGCTGTCCCTGAGAGGCGCAAAACCGAGCAGGATTCTCTTCAACTGGTTGAATCGATGTACTGCAACGCATTTCCGTGCCTCAATTAGGTCCTGGTGCGAATGCCGCGCACGTGACGCCATTTGCAATACCTCTTTCGCTGCACTCGCCGCAGAGTGCAGCACCTCAGACTCGATAAAGTCACTTGACTGGCTAGTTCTAGAGGGACAAAAAAGCTTCCAACGGCTTCATAAGGAAACTAACACTTCCACAGATGAAAAGCGTGATGTCTAGTGAAGGGGCGTGGTCGCCAAAAGAAGTTCGCAGATCCAAATATGAGTAGTACTCAAAGTGTTTAGAAGCGTAATGGAGACAGCGTATCTCCCTTGTTGCTAAATTTGCTGTATAGGACAAGCACCATTAAACGCTGAAATTTATTTTGTGGGCTGCCACGCCTCTCCAGCTCCGACTCCGCCCATCAAACGTATCGCGTACGATGTCTCTTTACATATTTCGGCTGCTTATAATTGTTTTCTTCGAAGCAGTAATGCAGTAATACCCCCTTTCTCTTCCTGCATGTAATACCATTGCGCAAAAAAGGAAATACTATCTTGTACCTCCTTTTTGGCGCAGTTTCGCTTGGTGGGGCACGCGTGAGGCTTCGTTTGCTTTACAATTAGAGTGCAGGTCTCATCAAGATTAGACATGTAAGTCAACAAAAACCAGCAAAAGGAACCTAGCGAGAGCGCGAAATGCCCCCCCCAGCCGTTAGCGCCTTTTTTATATACCTAATTTTCACTTTAATCGACAACACTTTTCAAACCAAATTGGACACTTTTCAAATCAAATCGGACACTTTTCAAACCAAATCGGACATCTTTTCAAATCAAATCGGACACTTTTCAAACCAAATCGGACACTTTTCAAATCAAATCGGACACTTTTCAAACCAAATCGGACACTTTTCAAATCAAATCGGACACTTTTCAAATCAAATCGGACACTTTTCAAACCAAATCGGACACTTTTCAAATCAAATCGGACACTTTTTCAAAGCGGCAAATCGACACTTTTTCAAAATCAAAAATCGGACACAACCGGCCCTTCAATTAGGTGCTGAATAAGCTAGACCACACCGGTACTGGTTGCAAGCCCCGCCCCATTAATCTCCGGCTTACGACTTCTCAGCGCGGCCAGGGTATTTCGCGAGATGGCTCATGATAATTCTGCTCCCATCGACTTTTTTTGCCAGTTTTGCCCCTTTGCACACACAGTTCAACGGAAAAAGACTGATACCTGTATAGATCTGACTCCGCCCACTTAACAATGAAGTTACGTAAGTTCTGAATTTTTATAACTTTTTTCGACGTAGTTCTTTTCAACTCCAAATCTTTCAGCACAAACGAATTAACGCATGCACAGCAACATCATGCCCCGACGTCCCATTGACTCCGCGCACTTGTGGTAATCGGGAATTTTGGTTTTTTGCTTCCGGATTTTCGGGCTTCTTTTGAAGCCTGTAAGCGAGGTGACTTCCGCCACCAATGGAAAGCTCCGGGCCCACTTGGGGATAGGCCGCCGCCCACTTTTCGAAAATGATGCAAATCGGCGGGCTAGTGTCCGTACTGACGGATTAAGGCCTCTCCCGTCGCTCAGAACAAAGTTTCCTTTTTTTCCGGTTTTTCCCTTTTTTTTTATTCTATGTGCCGGGAGAGGCCTGAATCCGCCAGTACGGGACACTAGCCCCCCCGATTTGCAATCAAATTTTCGAAAAGGTGGGCGGGGCTTCCCCCAAAGGTGGGCCCGGAAGCTTTCCATTTTAGTGTGGCGGAGTCTAATCGCTACAAGCTCAAGAAAAGCGAAAATCCGAGGAAGAGAAAACGCAAAATTCCGCGAAAACCACAGAAGTGGGCGGGAGTCAGAGGGGCGGGGCCTGGTGTGCTGTGCATGGTTATTCGTTTTGTGAAGATTGGATGTGAAAAGAACTACGTCGAAAAAAGTTATAAAAATTCAGAACTTACGTAACTTCATTGTTAAGTGGGCGGAGTCAGATCTATACAGGTATCAGTCTTTTTCCGTTGAACTGTGTGTGCAAAGGGCAAAAACGAAAAAAAGTCGAAGGGAGCAGATTTCATGAAGCATCTCGGAAAACCCTGTCCGCGCTGAGAAGTGAGCGGAGATAATGGGGCGGGGCTTGCAACAGTACCCGGTGTGGTCTAGTTATCAACCACCTTAATTGTAAGGGGTGTGTCCGATTTGGATTTGAAAAGTGTCCGATTTGATTTGAAAAGTGTCCGATTTGGTTTGAAAAGTGTCCGATTTGATTTGAAAAGTGTCCGATTTGATTTGAAAAAGTGTCCAATTTGGTTTGAAAAGTGTCCGATTTATAAGTGAAAATGGTCAACGAAAACCAGCAAAAGGAACTAACGAGAGCGCGAAATGCCCCTCCCAAGCCGTTAGCGCCTTTTTTATATTTTTAATAACCTGACCATTCCACCGTTTCCATCCTTTTTTATACTTTTTAGTTATGATGACACGAAGCTCACTCTTCAAGCAACTGGCTATGGAACGGCCTTGCGATCATGTGAGTCATTGAGATGCTCAGTTATAACTCACCCTTTTGACTAGCTGACGTTTCAGATCTATGAGCTCGATCTCAACATAGATCCTAGGAAATCAAATATTGAGAAGGACTAGCACCGGACTCGGCAGTACAACCTGCTCGTTTTTCTATAAAGAACCCGACAACGATCACCGGCTTTATGCTGGGAATTTCTGGGCGGTTAGAGAATATACAATAGTTTTTCTCTTATCCCGAGAGTTTTCTTAATTTTTCAGGTGAACGTAACGAACTTCGATAGTATCACGAACACCTGCCCGCCAAAGAAGTGCGCGAATCCGGAGACCATTACAGATCCCGTCCTGAAGCAACTTTGTAACACTTCCTACACTTGGGAC